AAAAAATGTATATTGTGCTGCAGTTGGGTGAAGTGCTCTGTAGATGTCTGTAAGGTCAAGTTGGTGGATTGTATTGTTTAGCTCTTCTGCATCTCTGTTGAGTTTCTTTCCAGTTCTTCTATCTTTCATTGAAAGTGGCGTATTAAAGTCTCCCACTATGACTGTGGAGTCATTTATTTGCCTTTTCAACTCTTTTAATGTCTGATTTATGTATTTTGGGGATCTTTCATTGGGTCCATAGATATTTATTATGGTTTTATCTTCTTGTTTATTGATTCTTTAATCATTATATAATGTCCTTCTTTGTCTTGTATGGTGATTTTTGTCTTAAAAGTCAACTTGATCAGATATTAATATTGCCACTCCTCCTCTTTCTTTGCTTGATATATCTTTTTGAACCTTTGATTTTTAGTCTATTTTTTTCTTTGTCTCTATGGTGTGTGTCTTGTAGACAGCATATGGATGGGTTTTGTTTTCTTATCCAATCTGCAACTCTATGTCTCTTGAGTGGTGCATTTAATTCATTAACATTCAGTGTAATTATTGACAAGTATGAATTGGTTGCTATCATTTTGTTGTATGTTTTTTCATGGTGTCCCTAGTTCCTTTGTTCCATATTATTTTCTGTGCTGAGCTCATTATGTTTATGAATTGTGTTCTCATTTCCTGTATTGCTGTTGTTTTAGCATTTGCTGAATATTTGTGCTTTTCCTTTTTTATTGTGATGTGAAGGTTTATCTTTTTTCTTTGAGGTTACCATGTGATTCATCATTTTTTCCCCAAGTTTAGAATAGTCCATTCTATCTTGCCATTCTCTTCACTTCCTCACCATTTACAGGTTCTGTAAACAGTATTTTCCCTCTTTTTGGTTTGCAGTTGTCCTCACTTGCCAATTGATGTCTCTGGTTCCCTGTTTACAATCTTGTAAGCTTATTTACTTTGGTTATGTCCATAGCTATGGTTTCTGGATTATGTCATCTTGTGTATCAATGGTCGGTTGTTGTTTGCTATTTTTGGTTCTCTGTTCAAAGGACTCCCTTTAGTATCTCTTGTAAGGTTGGCCTAGTTTTAACAAATTCCCTTAATTTCTGCTTATCTGGAAATCTCCTAATTTCACCATCATATTTGAGGGACAATTTTGCCAGTTATATAATTCTTGGTTGAAAATTTTTTTCTTTCAGGGTTTTATATATACCATCCCATTGCCTTCTCTCTTGCATGGTTTCTACTGAGAAATCAGAGCTTATTCTTACTGGTTGTCCTTTGTAAGCAACTTTTTGTTTTTCCTCTGCTGCTTTCAGGATTCTTTCTTTGTCTTTGGTTTTGATCGCTTTGATGATGATATGTTTTGGTGATTTTCTTTGGAGGTCTATCCTGTTTGGGGTTCTCTGGACTTCCTGAATGGATATATTCTCATCTTTCGTCATATCAGGGAAGTTTTCCTCCAACAAATCTTGGACAATTTTCCCAGTGGTTTTTTTTTTTTTTTTTTTTTCTCTCTCTTCCTGTTCTGGAATTCTAATGACACATAGGTTATTTCTTTTGGTGGTATCCCACATGAACCTTAGGCTTTCTTCATTTTGTTTTGATCTTTTTTCTGATTGATCCCTTTCCAAAGAAGTATTCAGGTATTTGTTCAATGTCATTAATTCTGTCTTCCTTTGCATCAATTCTACTCCTTTGCCCTTTCAATGTGTTGTCTATTTCTGACAATTTGGTATTAATCTTCTGGATTTCCATCTGTAGATTTTGGCTAGCAGGGCTGATTTTTAGGTTAATTCTTAGGTCCTACCACCACTCGGCAATATCCAAGCTGTCTGTGCTATCAGGATCGCTGCCAGACTACAGCTCTGTATGTCTCCTTTTCTGGTGTTTTCATGCATATTCTTCTGCTAGTGAGAGTTTAGTCCACTTTTATATCCTTCCCTTCAAGGCTCAGAGGTCCAGGATTATCTTCTGTATCTGTATTAATTTGTTCCCCTTTTTTTTGCTGAAGAGGATCTATTCAGTCTTTCTGCCTATTCTACCATCTTACCGGAACTCCTGGAGTGGTTTTTTTTGTCTACATTCATGATCGAAGAAAAGGCTAAATTTCATTAGAGATTAATAAAATTAGAGATGCAATTTTTTTTTCTTCCCTCATTTAAGTTCACAGTCCCCTGCTCTAGCATCTACCTGGATATAGCACAATCACTTGTGACCCATTCTGGCTTTTCAGAAAATATACCCTCACATTGTATTCATCACATGGCCTAACATAATATTGTGGGTCATAGAAGGCAGCATGAGGTCCTGGAAGAGGATGTGGATATGAATCTAAGTTCTGCTACTTATTATCTAGATGACCATGCACAAATAATTTTTCTGAGTGTCAGTTTCCTCATTGAACAATTAAGGAATTAAGCCAGATCTTTTCTAAGGTTCTCATCAGATGTTCTCCAGATTCAATGAGTAATTCTAGGAAGATTCTCAATAAATGAATGAGATAAACTGAGCTGCAACCATAACAATGAACACTAATGTGAACTACAGACGACCTCTTACAGCTGATACTGCATAGAAGGACTGGCAGTACTTGGTATGGCTTCTTGGCCAGGGTCTTCCTACTCAGCCTATCCCCAGCCCAGGGATCAAGAGGTGTGCCCCTCACTGACCGTTCAAAACGTACAACTTTGGCCAGGAGCAGCTGCAGGGTCTCATTGTAGCTCCTGAAGCTATCCAGAGCCTGTAAGAAGTTACACAGTTCCTGGATCTCTTCCTCCTTTCTCCAAGCAGGCTGCTTCTGTGTGATCTCAATGGCCCTTGGAGGAAAGTGACCCTGGGGAGACAGAGCCAGAGTGACTGACCCATAGGACACAGCAGACCAACTCCCAGCATTCCGGCTTTTATCTTTCCCATTCCTCATGCCATAGTGGCTGACATATAATGAGTGCCCACTGTGTGCCAGGCAATGGCATAAGCATCTTGATAAGTATCTCACTGTATCCTCACACAGCTCAAGAATCAAAGCAGTATTACCATTCCCACTTGGTAGATGAAGAAATCAGACAGGATTATAACCTAGATTTGCCAAATCCCAAGGCCCATAACCCCAACCATTGGGCCCTATTGCCTCCTCTCTTGTAAACCTGCCAGGCGATATGGCGCTGCTCCCTGGGCTCCAGGAACTCTACAGGGTCCCCTCAGCACATGCATACTGCAGTCAGAGATCATATTCTCTCTTCCAGCCTATACCTTGACATGTTATAGGAGACCAAGAAACAAAGAGAACCTACCAGAGACTTTTAGCAAAATCTTTTCTTCCTAGCGAACCAGACACACAGAGTAGTTGACTGGCAAATCTGCTGGTTCATCCACCACTCCTACTGGCTGGGGGAAATGGTACTGAGAATTTTTAACACCTCCGTCTCCTACTGAGTTCCCACTGCACTTAGGATAAAATCCAAACTCCTTACTACAGCCCATGAGGTTCCATGTGGTCTGACCCCCTACTGCCCTACCTACCCCTCCAATCTCATTTTCTGCCTGCCCTCTTCATTCTCTTTTCTCTAGCTTTCTTCCTATCCCTTGCATGTGCGAAGCTTGGTTCTGTCCTGTGGTCTTTGCTTGGACTGTTTCCACTTCCTGGAATATTTTTCCCCTGGATTTTTATGTGGCTGCCTCTTCCTCATCATTCTGGTCTCAGCTCATACTCTGCTACCAGCTCAGTGAGTCCCTGTAGGACCACTTGAATGAAAGTAGCAAGCCCCTGTCCCCAGCACTTTACAAACCTGTGTCATTTTCTTCAAAGCATTTATTTAATACTCTCTGTAGTAATCTTTTTCTTTCTTTTTTGTTAATGTGCATATTATCTGCCATTTCCCTATCCTATACACACAAATTGTACTTTTCACTATGGTAGCCACTAGCAACATGTGGCCATCTAAATTTAAATTAATTAAATACAAAATTAAGTTCCTCAGTTGCATTGACTACATTTCAAATACCCTATAGCCACATGAGTCTCGTGGCTACTGTATTGGACAATATAGATTAGAGGACTTTTCCATTATTATAGAAAGTTCTATTGAACTGAAGTGCTCTAGAATATAAGCCCCAATATAAACATGCTAATGGCGCTGTCTACCTTCTTTACCACTCTAGAATAGTGTGGCACTCAGTAAAATAGGTATTTGTGCAAAGAATGAATGAATGCTGGTGTTCTTATAACAGTAATTGTCATGAAGCAAAATGGAACTGGGGCACGATGAAGTATTCTGACAGCAGGAAAACAGATGAGATGCCTCACCTATTCACTCAGAAAGGCAGCATAGCTTAGTGATCAAAAGCATATGGGGCCAAAAAACAAGTGTCAGGGCTCTGGTACCAGATGTTGGGCCTGGACCTCAGCCCTGTTACTTCCTAGCTGTGTGTCCTGGGCAAGTCACTTCTCCCTTGCATCTGTTTCCCTACTTGATAACAGCAGAATCTATCTACATAAAAGTTGTTACTGGGTGGGTGTGGATTCCAATTCATAGAGACCCCATGTGACAGACTAGAACTGCCCCATATGGCTTTTTTGGCTGTAATCTTTATGGAAGTAGATCACCAGATCTACACAGATCACAGAGTGGCTGGGTTGGTGCAGACAACCAACTTTTCAGTTAGCAGCCAAGCCCTTCACTGTTGCACCACCAGGGAGTAGCAGAATTGAGATGTCTAAAGGGTTTACAGTAGTGACTGGCACAGAGCAAGGGCTATGGAAGTGTTAGCCATTTTTATGGTCACAAGGTCCAATCTTTCTACTTTCCAGTTCTCTCTTGCTATCAATAACTCATTGGGGTTTCTGTTATGGGGTTCACTATGACAAAACACAGATGCCCATAACCTCTATAAGCCAAAGTGATCCTTTGGGCCTATCTGGGGGCCTAATTCCTCCAGGAAGTTTCTGTCCCCATCCCAATCTTTAGAGACTCCCTTCTCTGGATTCCTATAGAACTGACTCTGTTATTAAACTTTCTGGGTTTCATCACCTTATCTCCTAATTAGCTCCATAAGGGCAAAACCAAAAAACCAAACTCATTGCCATTAAGTTGATTCCAACTCATAGTGACCCCCATTGGGTTTCCAAGGCTGTAAATCTTTATGAAAACAGACTGCCCCATCTTTCTTCTCCAGAGCAGCTGGTGGGTTTGACCTTTTGGTTAGCAGCCAAATGCCTTAACCACTACACCATCAGAGCTCCTCTCCATAAGGGCAGGGTGAGGATATTACATGATCTAGTATTCCTCACAAATGGATGCAGAACTAGGCCAATCAGAACCCACTACCACTGAGTTGATTCTGATTCATAGTGAGATTATAGGACAAAGTAGAACTGTAAATGTTTACAGAAGCAGACTGCCTCATCTGTTTGGAACAGCTGATGGATTTGAACTACTGACTTTTGGTTAACAGCCCAATGCTTTAACTAGAGCTCTACCAGAGCTCCTAAGCCAACCAAAGGAGTTCAAAAACTGCCTGGGGGGTGAAGAAAAGGTAACAATTCAAACTGGGCCCTGGAAGACTTCCCATTTCGCCCAGCTTTCCCCTTCTCTCCCTACTGTACTACCATACTCTTCTATGTTCCTCTAGCACATAGGAAGGGATGAAGAATGAAAACAAGAGGCAGCCCAGCTTTGTTAAGGTTCTCAGTGCACCATGGCCCACAGGCACCTGGCACATGCCCTCCCCACTGCCAAGATACTCAAAAGGAAGGTCATCTCTGCTGAAGGAATGGTGAAGGAGGAGCCTAAGCAAGAGGAGATCGTCAGTTAAACCTGCTCTTGCAAAATAGGAAACAAAGCCAAAAAAGGTGGCAGAAAAGGATAAATCTACACACAAAAAGTGCAAACAAAATGGAAAAGGGGAGTAAAGAGAAAACAGGCTGAAGTAGCTCACCAAGAAACTAAAGATTTACCTGCAGAAAATGGAGAAACTAAAAACAAGGATAGTCCAGCCTCTGATAAAGCAGGAGAGAAAGAAACCCAGTCTGATTAATGTTTGTCTACCATGTCTTTTCAGTGGTCCCTATATCGCCCTTCTTGGACATTCCAAAGGAATATTTTTATCAACTATTTTGTAAATGCAAGTATTTTTAGTAGCTCTAGAAATGTTTTTAAGGAGTAGATACACCACTTCATCCCATTTTTTAAATGTAAATGCTTTTTTTTTTTTTTTT